TTATGTGCTTATTGGCATTCATATATCTTCTTTGAAGAAATGTCTATTCAGATCCTTTGCCCATTTTTAAATTTAAGGGTTACTTGTCTATATTACTGAGCTTTAAGAGTTCCTTGTATTTCTGGATACAAATCCTTTATCAAATATAAAATATTTTCTCCCATTCTGAGGGTTGTCTTTTTCACTTTCTTGATGGTGTCCTTCGAAGCATATTTTTTATCTTGATGATTTTTTTTTTTTTGTCATTTACACTTTTGGTGTCCTAAGAAACCATTGCCTAAACCAAGGTCACAAAGATATGTGCCATGCTTTCTTCTAAGAATTTTGTAGTTTTAGCTCTTACATTTAGGTCTTCAATCCATTTTGAGTTAATTTTTGTATATGGTGTAAGACAGGGGTCCAAGTTAATTCTTTTGCATGTGGATATCCAGTTGTCCCATCACCACTGGTTGAAAATACTATTCTTTCCCCATTGAACGGTCTTGGTACCCTTGCTGAAAATCAACTAACCATGAGAATAAGAGTTTACTGCTTGACTCTCAGTTCTATTTCATTCATCTATATGTCTATTCTTATGCCAGTATCACACTGTCCTGATTCTTGTGCTTTGCAGTAAACCTTAAAATTAGGAAATGTGAGTCTTCCAACGTTGTTCTCCTTTTCCAAGACTGTTTTGCAATTCCGGGCCCCTTGCATTTTCCATGTGAAATTTAGAGTCAGCTCATCAATTTCTGCAAAGTCAAACAGTACACTGACAGGGACTGCATTGAATCACTAGATCATAAGTCAAATCAGGTCACTCCTTTGCTTTAAAACCTCCAATAGCTCTGCATCTCGTGCAGAGTAAAAGCCCAGGTTCTTAAAATGGCCTAGTTACAATCCTAAACAGTCTGGTTCCCTAATAACTCTCTCAAATCATTTCTTGCTACTCTCCCTCTTGCTCTTTCTTAAACTCACCCAGCATTCTCCTGCTTCACTGCCCTTACACTTGATTCATAGCCAGAAATGCACTCCTCCCCACCCCCCAGATATATATCTGACTTGCTTTTTACAAGACTTTACTCATGGCACCTTTGTAGTGAGGCTTTCCCTAACCACCCAGTGTAAAATCGTGCGCACACAGAGTTCTCTCCATCTCCCTTTCATTATTTTTTGCTTCAAAGCAGTTATCACTCTATAATTTAGATGTTTATTTTAATGCCTGTATACCGACACTAAAAGTAAGCTCTTTTAAAAAGAGCTTTTTAAAAAATGCTTTTGTCAATTCTTTTCACTCCTGCATTGCCATCACTAAGCTATAGTAAATATCAAAATTAAATACCAATACGAAAACAATGTCTAACACATAGTAAGCACTCAATAAATTTCTGCTGATGAATAAAGGATTAAGGCAGGGAAAAAGAACTAAGAACGAGAAAGCAATAGGTACAGAATTCTAAGAAGAAACAGAAATACTCAATAAACATTAAAAAGTTTAACCCCGTTAATAAAACCAAATTAAAAGAGATAATATAGGATTAAAACATTTTTATATTGCCTATTAAATAAAACATAATTTTTTTAAATGACAATAGCCAGTGTTAGTAAGGCTAGAGTAAAATAAAAATTCTTATACATTGTGATGAGTGTAAACTGGTATAACCTTTCTGAAAAGCAAAATGGCACTGACTATGTATCAAGAAATTTTAGGTTACTTATATTTTTTGACCCATTTTTTTGATTCTACTTCTAGGAACTCATCATAAAAAATAATCACAGGGCTTTCCTGGTGGCGCAGTGGTTGAGAGTCCGCCTGCCGACGCAAGGGACACAGGTTTGTGCCCCGGTCCGGGAAGATCCCACATGCCGCAGAGCGGCTAGGCCCGTGAGCCATGGCCGCTGAGCCTGAGCATCTGGAGCCTGTGCTGCGCAACGGGAGAGGCCACAACAGTGAGAGGCCCTCGTACCGCAAAAAATAATAATAATAATAATAATAATAATCCCAGATTTACATATTTATATACAGATGTTCAAAATACTGTAAATTTTTACAAAGAAAAATGGAAAACAACTAAATATTTGGTGAGAAAGAAATTATAAAAAAATTTTCTGATGACGGTAAGTACAATGTATTAAATACTTAATGTATGCCAGCTAGAATGTTAAGATCATGATTTTACTTAATTCTTAAAACAGTAATAATTAATATTATGCCTATTTCACAAGTAAGAAAACTAAGGACTAGAAAAAGTAAGTTATCAGGCTTAAGGCTCTTAAGTAGCAAAACTGGGATCTGAACCCAGGTTTGCTAGACTCTACTAGATACAATATCCCTGTAAATTCATAAGATGGAATTTTATACAGCCATTAAAGACTATATTTTGGATAATATTAACTAGAGTTTTTTTAAAAACTATGTTAAAAAAGAAAGCAAGACACAAAACTGAATATAATTTATACAGACACCTAAATGGGACTGGACTATATTAGACTGGAAAGGAAATCCTGGGTTATGGTAACTTTATTTTTAACTACTACTTTTTTTATCTACTTTTTATAAACTACTTTTTGCATTTTCCAAATAATCTATAATATATACATTCTTTCGTCATCACGGGAAAAAACAACCACTATTATCAATTAAAGGTGAATCTTGGACTTCCCATACACTTCCTCCAGCTTGCAAACTATATATCCTTCCACCCCTTTTTTTTATTGTGTCTACCTATATGGAAAAGGATCTAAACATATAGGCAGTTTAAGTATCCAACCAGTATAGGGAAGAAACTCTTAAGTATAAAAACATACATAGCTGGGCTTCCCTGGTGACACAGTGGTTGAGAGTCCGCTGCCCCGGTCCGGGAAGATCCCACATGCTGTGGAGCGGCTGGGCCCGTGAGCCATGGCCGCTGAGCCTGCACGTCCGGAGCCTGTGCTCCGCAATGCGAGAGGCCACAACAGTGAGAGGCCCGCGTACCGCAAAAAAAAAACAAAAAACAAAAAACATACATAGCTGACACTACCTCCCAATCACTCTGTAGATGCAGTTTACTTCAATCCTATTTATTCACTTAAGTAATGTTCACATTTAACTTTTATCACCTGATTTTATATATCTTCATTTTTCCATAAAGAAGGCCTCATTAATACACTGAACAAGCTTGTGTAGCTTCTTCATATACATACCTGACCTAAATATTCTAAAAGGATATGGGAAATTAGGATGGGTAAGAAGGTTTGATATATTATGGAGAAATGTGAAAGGGCTGGTTCTCAAATGAAGAACCTAAAAACAATAATATAAATTGTTATTAATAGTGATACCATGAATATATATATATAAATTTCATATACACATTTTCCAAGCTCTTCTACCTCTATTATTCAGTTTTAACCTGAGAAAAGCTAACCAATACATACTTGCTCACAGATTATCATTAAAATATTTCAGCATGATAAGCAGAGGTCTTATTAACTCTAGTTCTTTTTTTTTTTTAACAGATAAGGATATATGTTCTTTTAACCATTAAAAAAAAATTCAGGGTGAACATGAAGTCTATAAATAGTAGTAGAAGTGAACATGAACTCGAACAGTGGTATGGTAATGGTCAGTACTGCCATGAAAGTGGATATACCAATAAACAACACTTCAGGAAAAAACTTTCCTACTAAAAACTACATCATCAACACAGTGCTAACACTTAAAAATTTTCCTGTAACAGTTTATGAATAAATCTGTTACATGCATATATTATAAAGGCTAGTAATTTTAAAGAACTTACCTTTATGGAAAAATATCCAGAAATAAATTTCTATAACAGTCAAGAAAGATATTCTATTTAATACTCAATATCAACCATCTAGAAATAACAGGCCTAAGAAAACTGATACTAACAATCAAATATATCAATAGTATTTTAGCTCTTTAAAACCACCATAAAAGGAACGAAAACAAAAATCATCTCTCTAAAAGGAACGAAAACAAAAATCATCTCTCTATAAGGAACATATAGGGAAGTTAGAAGACTCAAATATGGCACAATCCCAGACAAGATCAGAAAACATCTCTCTCAGAAACAATTGCTACCAAGAACCAATACAATCGATCTTTACTGGGGATTAAGTTACCCTACAAGATGATTTTAAGTCTACTGCTTGATAAGCTGAAGGTAGATACTAAATCTCATCAAGGTACCAAAGGGTGTGTCACTAAAAAAGACAGTATTTATAGAAAATATAACCAAATTAAGGTAACCAATAATCTTAAAATGCATCCATCTGTCATAAGAACTATTATAAGTAATAACTGGACATACTAACTATTGATAAAGAATGGTTAAATAAATTATGGCAAAAAAAATAATCATGCTTTGGAATACTATGCAGCTATGAAAAGTTGAAGGTATAATGTAGAAACCAGAAAGATCTCTGAGACATATTCTTAAGGGGAAAAGCCAGATGCTGAACCATATACAGCTTTGGGCCAAAGAATGGCAGGAAAGTGTATTTCTCTACAATTCTTCAACACTTTCTATATTCCTTCATTACTTACTACCAGTACTAATCTTCCTTAGATATTTTAGACTCTCACATTGTTGGTTTTACTGACATATTTTCATCTGTATGTGTTTATTTCCCCAATTAGCCATGTTCCTTGAGAACACAGATTATGATACATACTACTCCAATTTGGCATTTAGTCATAGTCCCATACATAAAATAGGTGCACAAAAAATATTTGTGGATGGCTAAAATATGTAAAATATGAAGGAGTGAGAAGTGGTATTTTAGAAGCAAAGACACCAAAACACACATTAAATGGGAAAACCACAATACAGTTCTTTAGACTTCTTGGGTCAGCATGTTTTATGCAACCACAAGCTCTTTGAGAAATTCTAGTAACAAAATATGTGATTACATTTTCCTTCTTATGAGAGATTTCTTTAATCACTCAAATATGTAAATAAAAGCTTGAAAACCTATGTGTAAAGTACACTCACTCTAGACTTCAATAAACTTACCATCTGTCTGTCACTGATGTTATCAATGTGCTTATTAAGGCCACAGTTGACACCTGCAAACTCTACAGCTCTTCCTGTTATCCAACATAATGTCTTCTTACTATTAAAAAAAATGTAAATGATGATACATTATATACATATGTAACAAAAGCTAATTTATATCAAATAGTAATCCCAAATGAAATCAAAGTCCAAAATATATACAATATTTATAATATAGATATATATCATATTCCAAAGAGAAAACCACAAAGTAAAGAAAAAAGACCAACTTCATCCACCACCATTAGAGGTGACTGTTACACTCTGGAAATGGTTAGGGAAAGACCTAAGCATTTATTCTGCCTTTTAAGTAGAACATTATTCCAAGGCAACAAAATAGCGCTAATTGATGAGGGAAACCTTCTTTATTGAAGACAACTATGTAATAGGATCTAAAACTAATTACCATATTGTAAACCATAATTAAATAGCTGATCAAGAATCACCAACAATCATCAATGAAGGCTAAAATCATTAGGTGAAAGGTTGACAGAGACATACCTGGTGCCAAAGTACCATGCCACAGATTATTTGCAAGATATAAAAAGACAAACATAATTTTACAATAAAACGTTCTGGTTGTCATCACCTTGGCCTTGTGATCAAACACAGCGTCCAAATGGTGGGACAACTAAACATTACATGCCTGTAAGTGAAACAATATGAGTACAGAGCATTGCTAAATGAACTACTCTTCCAAAACTGTTTAACCTAAATCTGAAACACCTTTAAATCTCACTCTCAGTTTATATGAAATATAGGGGATAGAGGAAAAAATTATACTGACCATGAAGAAACTATCAGCAATACAAAATGTCAGACATTCCCAACATTCCCAACAGAGCCAACAAATCTGTATTATGCGGAGGAGGAGGGAGGGTGGTAAAGGGGGTGGGTAGGTTAGAGACAGTTCTATAATTAAAAAAGACTCAAGAGACAGCCAGATACAATGGGTAGCTCTTGACTAGATTTTCATATTTTTTTAAAGGCAATAAAAGATGTTTTTGGAACAATTAGAGAAATCTGAATATGGTACAAGTATTATATATTAGGGACTTATTGATAATTTTGCTAGGAATGATAATGGTTTTGTGGTTATATAGAAGAATATCCTTTTTCTGGAAGATATGTCAAAGATAATATGCCTTATGAATTTTTTTTTATTTTTTGCAGTACGCGGGCCTCTCACTGTTGTGGCCTCTCCCGTTGCGGAGCACAGGCTTCGGATGCGCAGGCTCAGCAGCCATGGCTCCCAGGCCCAGCCGCTCCGTGGCATGTGGGATCTTCCCGGACCAGGGCACGAACCCGTGTCCCCTGCATTGGCAGGCGGACTCCCAACCACTGCGCCACCAGGGAAGCCCTCTTATGAATTTTTAAAAGAGTAAATTTCAAGCTAAATCCTTAAATGAAATTATCGAAGTTCAAAATATATATAACATTTATAATACAAATGTATAGTACACAAAAAGAAAAAACCCTCATTTGTCATCATTTACTTTTAAAACGCTTTTAAAACGCTCAGGAAATTTATATATACATAGAAATATACACATATATAAAGCAAATGTAGCAAAATATTAGTAATCATTAAATCTAGGAGGTGGGTTTACATGAGTTCAATGTACTATTCTACTTTTCTATACATATGTCTACATATTTTGCTAATAAAAAGTTTTTAATATGTACCATGCTTCAAGTAAACTGGTTTGTTTACCTCTACAAAGTAAAAAATCCTTTTTAAATTCAAATACCAACCCTTAATTTGAAACTCTGAATTCAAATATACCAAGTTTTAATAAAAGCAGGGCACACTCCATATTTTAAAGGTTATATCTGGTTACGTATGTGTTCTAAGAAAATGAAAATTTTAATCATGTGATAAGGGAAGGAAGAAAATGAAAGAAAAAATTTTAAAGGATAAAAATTAAGAGAAGAGGGCTTCCCTGGTGGCGCAGTGGTTGAGAATCTGCCTGCCAATGCAGGGGACATAGGTTCGAGCCCTGGTCTGAGAAGATCCCACATGCCGCAGAGCAACTGGGCCCGTGAGCCACAACTACTGAGCCTGTGCGCGTCTGGAGCTTGTGCTCCGCAACAAGAGAGCCCGCAACAGTGAAAGGCCCGCGCACTGCGATGAAGAGTGGCCCTCGCTTGCCGCAACTAGAGAAAGCCCACGCACAGAAACGAAGACCCAACACAGCCAAAAATAAAATTAAATAAATAATAAATAAATACAAATTTAAAAAATAATTAAGAGAAGAACCCCAAATAGCCAAAGCAACCTTGAGGAAAAAAAAAAAAGTTAAAGTTATTGTGGGGACTTCCCTGGTGGCTCAGTAGTTAAGAATCCGCCTGCCAATGCAGCGGACATGGGTTCAGTCCCTGGTCCGGGAAGATCCCACATGCTGTGGAGCAACTAAGCCCGTGCGCCACAACTACTAAGCCTGCACTCTAGAGCCACGAGCCACAACTACTGAACCCATGCGCCTAGAGCCCATGCTATGCAACAACAGAAGCCACCGCAATGAGGAGCCCGCGCGCCGCAACCAAGAGTAGCCCCCACTCGCCGCAACTAGAGAAAGCCCACGCGCAGCAACAAAGACCCAACGCAGCCAAATAAATAAAGAAAGAAAGTTATTGTGTACTGTTGGTGGGACTGTAAAACGGTGCAGCTACTATGAAAAACAGTATGGAGGTTCTTCAGAAAAGTAAAACTAGAATATGATCCAGCAATCCCACTTTTGTGCATACGTCCAAAAGAATTGAAAACAGGATCTCCAAGAGATATTTGCACACCCATGTTCACTGCAGCATTATTCACAATAGTCAAGAGGTAGAAGCAAATTAAAAGTCCATGCAATCTCACACTTGGGGGACAGAGCCAACTTGGGCCCAGCACTGTACTGAAAGGGGTAAGGGCAGCCATTGCTAGTGCTCATGGAGATGTTGGATAGGGAGCTGTCTTGAGCTCTGACTGGCATACCAGAACTGTCCCAGCGTGTGTCCCAGCCTGGACCAGGCACACGATCCAGCTCCTCTTGCTTCAATGCTGCTCCCCATTGCCAGGCATGGGGAGAGTGCACACTTAGAGAGAACAGACCAGCTAGGACCTGACCCTCAGGATTTCTAACTCCAGCACCTTGGGACCTGACAATGCCCATAATAGGGTGGTGATGGCCATTGAACATGGGAGAAGCTCCAGTTCACACCTGTCTCTGGTTCTAGCCTCTCAATCTCTAGTCCCACCTCACACCAAGGTGATAGCTTCCAGCACACCCTGGGGGAAGATGTGACCCATACTCACATGCAGAGGACACCCCTTCCAGACTGGGATAGGTAACCTAATTTCACAGAGACAGAGTGAGTTAAACAAAATGAGAAGACAAAGGGATTTCTTTCAAATGAAAAAATAAGAAAAAAAAACCCTGGGGAAAAAGAAAACAGCCAATGAAACAGATAAATAAATTACCAGATAAAAAGTTCAATGCATTAGTAATAAGAATGCTAACTGAACTTGGAAAAAATTGAGATGAACACAGTGAGAATTTTAACAAGAAACAAGAAAATATAAAAAAGAACCAGTAAGAGCTGAAAGATACAATAATTTAAATGAAATACACCCAAGGAGTTGACAGCAGACTAGTTGATACAGAAGAACATACAAGTAATTTAAAAAAAAAAGTTTGTGCAACCTAAATGTTCATCAATAGAAAACTGGATTAAGAAAAGTGGGAAGGACTTCCCTGGTGGTCCAGTGGTTAAGAATCTGCCTTCCAATGCAGGGAATGCGGGTTTGATCCCTGGTCAGGGAACTAAGATCCCACACGTCGCAGGGCAACTAAGTCTGCGCACCACAACTACTGAGCCCTCGCACTTTGGAGCCCGTGCACCACAAGTAGAGAGAAGCCTGCGCACCACAAATAAGACCCGATGCAGCCAAATAAATAAAGAGAAAGAAAAAGAAAAAAAAAGAAAGAAAATGTGGGATACACACACACACACACACACACACACATACACACACACACACACACACACACACACACATATATACATAATGAAATATTATGCAGCCTCTAAAAAAAAGGAAATCCTGTCATATGCTCTAACATAGATGAACCCTGAGGACATTATGCTAAGTGAAATATGCCAGTCACAAAAAGACACACAGTGTATGATTCTACTTATATGAGGTATCTAAAGTAGTCAAGTTCCATACAGATGGCCTACAGAACATCATTAATCATCAGAGAAATGCAAATTAAAACCACATGAGGGGGGCTTCCCTGGTGGCACAGTGGTTGAGAGTCTGCCTGCCGATGCAGGGGACACAGGTTTGTGCCCCGGTCCGGGAAGATCCCACATGCCGCAGAGCGGCTAGGCCCGTGAGCCATGGCCACTGAGCCTGCGCGTCCAGAGCCTGTGCTCCGCAACGGAAGAGGCCACAACAGTGAGAGGCCCGTGTACCACAAAAAAAAAAAAAACCAAAAAAAAAAAAAAAAAAAAAAAACAAAACACAAAAAAAACACATGAGGGACTTCTCTGACGGTCCAGTGGTTAAGACTTCACCTTCCAATGCTGGGGGCGGGGGCGGTCCCTGACTGGTCAGGGAGCTAAGGTCTCACATGCCTCACTCCCAAAAAACCAAAACATAAAACAGAAGCAATATTGTAACAAATTTGATAAAGACTTAAAAAAAAAAAAAGAGATGTCACCTCACACCTGTCAGAATGGCTATCATCAAGAAAAACACAGGGGCTTCCCTGGTGGTGCAGTGGTCAATAATCTGCCTTCCAATGCAGGGGACATGGGTTCGAGCCCTGGTCCGGGAAGATCCCACATGCTGCGGAGCAGCTGAGCCCATGTGCCACAACTACTGAGCCTGCACTCTAGAGCCCACAAGCTATAACTACTGAGCCCGTGCACCACAGCTACTGAAGCCCACACGCCTAGAGCCCATGCTCTGCAACTGCAACAACAGAAGCCCGCACTCTGCAACAAAGAGTAGCCCCTGCTTGCCTCAACTAGAGAAAGCCCACGTGCAGCAACGAAGACCCAACA